GCTGCAGTGCCCTGGAACTTGTTTTCCTCCCTGCCCGGACCCAGCCCGAAGGCCCGCGAGGAGCAGCCTCGGGGCCATTTCTACACCGTCACTTCCCGGTGCCGCAGCCCCGGATCCTCCCGGAGCGTCCCCCCCGCACCGGGCAGGGACGCACCGGGCTCTCTGCGGGGGCACAGCCCTGTCACCCCTGCCTGGGACCACCCTCGTCCCGGGAGCTCCTCATCCCACGAGCATCTTCATCGCAGGACCATCCCCATCCTGGGTCCATCTCCATGCCTGGAGCATCCTCATTTAGGAGCATCCTCATCCCAGGAGCATCCTCATCACAAGACCATCCCCATCCTGCGACCGTCTCCATCCCAGGAGCCTCCCCATCCCTGGAGCATCCCCATCCAGATGCATCCCCATAACAGCAGCATCCCCATCCCAGAATCGTCCTCATCCAGGACCCTCGCCATCCCAGAGGAGCACTCTATTCCCAGGATCCTCCCCACCGCAGCACCGTCCCCGTCCCCGAAGAATCCTCCTCCCGGGATCGCCCCCATCCCGGAGCCATCCCGTACCCTCCAAGGTCACACCTGTGGCAGGGTCGGCACCCCCCGAGCTCCATCGCACGGGTGACCCCGCGGGGCGCTCAGCATCCCATGGGATGCTCCCTTGGGATCCTCCCCCCCTACCCCGTGTCCCAGCGGGACGTCCCCGCCGCTCACCTTCAGGTCGGGGGGCTTGGAGCGCGCCGGCGGGACAGCACCCGCCTCGGGGCCGGCCGCCGCCGCCTCCCCGGCCTTGCCCTCCATGCCGCCGTGCCCGGGCGGCGGCTCCGCCGCGGGATCGTCCTCGGGCTGCTGCAGCTCGTCCGAGCGGCACCGCTTCATAGCGGGGCGCGGGGCGCGGGGGGCGCGGGGGGCGGCGGCGGCGGCTCCGGGCGGCGGCCGGGGGGCCGGTGCGGGGCCCGCGGGCGGTGCGGCCCCGGCCCGCCCGCCCCGCCGAGCCCGAGCCCGGGCCGGGCGGCGGCTCCGCGCCCCGGCGGCTCCGCGCCCGCCGCCGGCACCGGCATCGCCGCCGCCGCTGACTGACAGCGCCGCGGGCCAATGGCGCCCAGGGGGAGGCGGGCTGGAGGGCGGTGATTGGCGGAGGTGGTGCGGAGGGAGGGGCTGCAGGGCTAGCCTCCCTCTGAGTGACGGTGAGGTTAGCCAATGGAAGTGCTCGGAGGGAGGGGCGGCCAGCGGTGATTGGCGGGAGACGCAGGGGGGCGTGTCCCGCCTCCTGCCGCGCCGGTGCCGCGCAGCGCTCCGCGAGTGGGCAGCTCCCCCTTCCCTTCCCTTCCCTTCCCTTCCCTTCCCTTCCCTTCCCTTCCCTTCCCTTCCCTT